ACTTTTTCTTATTAGTTTTTTTGTTTCTTTTTCTTTCTTTTCTCATCTTTTTTCTTTTTCTTTCTGGCTGGCCATGTTTCCTTGGTCAGGCCTTTGGTGTTTCTTTTTATCTAGCCTCTTAACTCTATTCTCATTGCCGGTCACTGTCAAGTTTAAATAAATTAATAATTAATACATAAATTGCTGATGCATGAATATAACAATTGATTATTATAGTCTACTAGATATAATATTATTATTAGTTTTGAACAAGTGGAAAATTAATTCAAGTTGATATTACAGACTTTATCAATAAACTACGGCCTCACTGCATTTTATTATTACTCAACTGATAGTAGATCTATCTCCATAGATAAAAATTATATTTGTCACTGAAGTTCTGTATGTTGTCTAGGCCATCATGGAGTTTGCTAGCATCATAAATACTGATGCTAGCATAGATATCTATGCTCTAGGTCGGTCAGGTCCGTGGTCATTAACGCAGAGTCCGTACTTTAGTCTTTTCGGGTCCCTTGGTCGGGTCAATAAATTAGTTTGTATCGGGTCCGTCGCTCGGTCCGTAAATTAGTCTTTTCGGGTCCGTTGGTCCGGTCCGGTCCGCTTTTTAGGGACAACCTACGGTAGCTAGTTTTGTGTCAAGCGCAGGATTTCTGCGCTAGCAGGAAATGAGTCACAATGACCCAAATAACACCCACACAAGACATGAATAACATTATCATAAATTATTTTAAAATGGATGTAAAGGAAATGGTGTTTAGAAAGCTGAACTATGTCTTAAAGGAGGAGCAGTTGGCAGCTATCAAGGCTTTCCTCGAAGGAAGAGATGTTTTCATAGTGCTACCCACTGGCTATGGAAAATCTAAGTCAAAATCAATATCATTCTCGGCAACTTGGTCCATAAAATGCTTCCTCCAAACATTTATCACATCTCTGCATCTTTCTGCTGCTGGATCACATCCGTTTTTGCTCTCTTTGCTTAAGTCTTTACCACAGCCTAAACATACAACGACGGTCATGTTTACACGCGTATGGGCGGTGCTCATTTTCAGCCCCACCTATATGCATGCTGTCAGCTCCACCCGTGACACAAAACTAGCTACCGTACTGAACCTGACTCTCCGTTTTTCCGCGAGAGGCAGGCTCCGCCTGACTAATCCTCCGCTGGGTGTTGATGCCTATGCAGCTGCTGCCATTGGAAATGAAATATTTTGGAGGCTATTGTGGTCATCATGTGGTAACTGTAATCATAATCCTCTCTGAACAGTCTATGAATATTGTAGGCGTATATAGCTATGTAAATGTGTTCTCTTTCCGTCACTTTCTTACTCTCATCTCCCCTTTCACAGTCTCTCATTTTGTCTCTCCCTTCTATCTGTAGTCTCTTTTCATTACTATGTACGCATCATGCTTGCTGCATTTGTATTAAAGATTGCTATAATTTAAAAGACAATAATTATTTGGCTGTGTCTACAGCTCCGGTAACCGGACGTAGTTTGCAATGCTAGAGCTCCGGCAGTCCGTTTTTCTCCGTAAAACAGCTTGTGCGCATGCGCAGTAGTGCAAAATGGAACTTAGTCTTTTTATCAAGAAACACTAAACCCTAGCCCCAAAACCCTACGATCCCGGAGGCTAAGATGTACGAGAGGGTGCTCTAAAAACTAAACACTAAACCCCAATCCCAACCCTACGACCCCGGAGGCTAAGATGTACGAAAGGGTGCTATTTCTTGACCCAAAAAAAGCCAAAAAGAAAAAAATTGCAAAAAAAAGATATTTTTAAAAAGAAAAAAAAAACCAAAAACTGCAGCATAGTTTTACTCGGTAGTCCTGACCGGATTCGAACCCCTGACCATATCCGTGCAATCCACACCAGCCTCTCCACTGCACCACCACGACCTTGCTGCATCATCAACGCTGGTTGTTGTATTTATACTCGGTTTCTATAATATTCATATCTTTCCTGTGAATGATGTTGCTGATTTATAATGATATTCATTGGGATACCGTAAATGGAAAATTTTTCAGGCCGCCATTGTGGAGGTATACTATAATCATTATATCATTAGTTACAATGGACCGACAGGCTAAAAACTGTCAATTCTACTTCTCCACGTCACTCCAGAGGCTCTAAACAGTTGCAGACTACTGAACAGAAAGATAAAGGTTGCAATTTTTTAACTTTTGAGACTATAACTGCTTGCTTTTCTTACAAAACGGCAGAAAGTGTATCGAGCTCCATTGGAAACAGTGCAGCAATACCTCCACAATGGCGGCCTGAAAAATTTTCTATTTACGGTATCCCAATGAATATCATTATAAATTGGAAACGTCATTCACAGGAAAGATATGAATACTTAGCACGCATATCCTCTATTAAACCACGAAACCCTTCAAGTCTCTCTTGCTGCCGCGCTACACGTGCACTCAAATTTTACAAAGAAACAAAAAATACGGAGACAGCCAAGTAAGTAAGTTACTCTTAAAACAATATTCCCCAAGAAATATACAAGGCTCCCCTTCCAAATGCAAAGAATACCGCTTACCCTACCAATTTGCTATGATTCGTCCAACGGATCCGGCTCGGTGGACCATGAGAAGAATGCGATTTCAGCTCTGAGAACTGATCTTAGCTAGAGCGATGACACCCAGCTATCCTCGGACCGTCGAACTCCTAGGTCAAGAATGGGTAAAGATCGAGATCAGGAACGCCCTCTGACTCGTCCACTGTCACCGTCGTCCTTCCAGATAGGGGAACTGGATCGTAGAATTGACTGTTGACAACAAATTCAGGTTGGGGAGTCGATACTCCAAATATCTTTTGTGAATGAAATAGGTCAAAGACCTTCCTCTCT